ATAAATAAATATATAAATAAAGAATTAACCAAAAGTGCTCCCTCCCCCCTCTGAAAACCTTAAAACGCTTTTTTCTCCAAACTTTGTTTTGTATACACATTTTCTTTCAAAACATGGCATATGTTTGAAATGCTCTAAATATTGAAAACATTGTTTAAAAACCCTTGATGATTACACTACCCACATGAGTATATTATTTTACTTTTCGTCTCATATTTTCCAAGTTTCCGACGACTGAGAGGCCTTTCACCGTTCACACAGATACATGTATACTGTGCTCCATCCAGATGCTCGAATGAGGTTTTAAAAAAATATTGGTGTATTTATGCCCCGTCGACATAATAATATGGATCTTTTAGGAGGCGGGCTTCGAGCTAATCCGGATTGAGAAGGATACATCCCAACAAAAAGACCTAGATGCTGGATAAAAATGTTCCCACACGAGCATGGGCATCAACTTTAGATCTTTCGTGTGCGACACCCGTCAAATGAGGATGTTCGCCCTGTTTTTTTCTCTCCTTCATTAAGTGAGTCATCGACACAAACGAACAAACACACACAGTGACTCTTCGGTGTCTGGTCCCTCAGGTCGAGGTATGAACGCTGCTTTTGCCATTGGCCGCCTTTGTGATATGGACTCTGGCAGACATCGGCTTCTCGGCCTGCCAGAATCAGAGAAAATGGTGAGAAAGTTGTTTTTTGTGTGTTTGTTTTGGGTTTTGTTTTTGTTGAGTTTTTTTGGTGTTTGATTTTAGGTTGTTAATTTTGTTTTTGTGTTGTTATTGTTGTTGCTACTGCGTCCTTTGTTGTTGATTTTGTTGCTGCTACTGGTGTTGTTGTTCATTTGTTGCTGTTGTTGTTTCTTCTGCCACGTTGTTGTTAATGTTATCGTTGTTGTCATTGTCCAAGATTACTGTAATTGTTCTGCGTCCTGCTCGCACTAGTTAAATAAATATAAATCATGATTTTGTCGGCGGGCTGCTTTGCTTTGGTTGTGCCTGGTAAGACGTGACGTGAATCTATACATGTACCCAGGTGAAGCAAACATAATTATAAAGCGAGTACTGGGTACTTAGGTACTTCTGACTTTTTGCTTAGAAAAAACCCGCACAGTCCAGATTGAACCTGGAGGGGCGATTGGAAGCTGCCCGAGTCCTAACACAATATTTCAATCGCGTTGAAGATGGCCTAAACCATTAGAACCCCCCCCCCCGTGGGTGGTTGGAGGGCGCCACTGATTGGTCCTACTTCCTTTCTGTCCTTCTTTTGGTTCTTGCTTCATTCCTTCACCATGTGCTTCTTTTTACCCAAACTCTCTCTCTCTCTCTCTCTCTCTCTCTCTCTCTCTCTCTCTCTCTCTCTCTCTCTCTCTCTCTCTCTCTCTCTCTCTCTCTCTCTCCCCACTCT